AATACGAGCTTGTTTAGAAGTCCTCTGATACTTGCAATTGTTAGGCGCAATCAAGCATTCATTTATACAAAAATCCATTTGTGCCTGTAAGGCACAACTTTCACCATCACCTCTGGGTGTGGTTCAACAGTTGAGTGTTGGCGTGATTTCCTTGGTTCATCAACGATCCACCCTCTTGTACACAAAGGCAGTGGCTTGAATTTAACGTCAAAACTCAGAGGGCACACTAACAAAATTCCACTGAGTTCCCAAGTCAATATCACTAGAAAGTATGAAGTTTATCTTTGGCGAGTAACTAACTGCTGTTTCATTTCGGAATGCCTGGTAGCTATTAGATTCCCACACTTTTTACAGGGGTTGTGTGTCATATTCAAAGTTTTACTGTAGAAATTTACTGAGTTTTATTATTTATTGGCCCAAATGTCGGAACGAGTGCACTGAACATTATTAACTAACCATGGTTTTGGCAGATGAAGTATTTGATCGTGAAAGTTCCACACTTTTTTGAAAGGTCATTATTTGGCAGCAGAAACAACCTTGAAGTCAGCAGACGGGGCATTTGGTCGATTTTCACCAACATTAATCGTCTCCCAACATCCTCCCGTATCCACCACAACGACCTTCCAACGAACCAATCATAGCACCGAGCCCAGTCCCACGGGTGCAATGGTCTATGCAACTGAAACGGTAGCAGGTAATGTGAGTCCGCGTTACGTTCAACAGATGTGCGCTACCCTACCCAACAATGTCACTCCCGCCAATCCCTCCACTGTTGTTGGCAGCAAGACTGGTCTGGATTCTGCTGGTCGATGTTACATGACTTTAAATCCCGAGCTTTACGAGATTGAGTATCCTTACGGTCAGCTCAAATATCACAGTGGGGCTTACCACCAACCTGCAAGACATATACATTCTCCAAGGACTTGTGGGGGACCCGTGAAGAGCACTCCTAACATAGTTGACATTGAGCCGCCTCCAACAGTGGCTGCATTTGGAGAGGGCATTGAGGCGCCTCAGGGAGAGACACAGAAACGTTGTCGCTTTAAAATCAATCCCTCTGGGAGTCAACTTACTCCCGTCCTCGGCAACTTTGATACATCAGAAAGCACTGAAGGTGAGTTGTTTGAGTGGTTGAGGCATTGCTTAATCATTTGAATGAATTAAGTATAACATTTTCTACAAGTTGAAACAAGTATCGGTGATCAATAGAAGAACAATGGTTTTTTCTCTTGAGAAAGATCTTTATTATTATATAGGTGAATATGGAAACTTTTTAGGGATGAACGATCATGAAATTTGTTACGAATATTGTTTCGAATGTCCCACGTATTCAAGACAAAAAACTGGGGTCAATGAAATGCATGGAAATGATGACCCATAAGAATATAAGCAGTGGACAGTATACTGTGTACCGGAGTCGAAGCTTCTCATGGAATATTTTGCGTGCCACATTCAGATGGATTAAAAACGGGATGACTGGATTGGCCGAAAAATCAGCCTTAGGTGTCATCGGTGATAACTTATCAGGGACATGAATAAAGGCACGGAAAAAGGAAGGAAAACGGCCTTTTGGTTAGGATGGAGAATTGTCTTCATGTGCGCAGTTTCTCTATTACCGACGCTCAAAATTACAAAATTGTTTAATTGTTGTGGCTTTGGTTGAAAATTCTGCATATCTCACATTTGTCGCATTTGCTACTAATGCGTCACCATCCAAAAGCGGATGGGAATTGCTGATAAATTCTTTTACTGTTAAGTTTTTTTTAAAAAACGCAAGTTTTAGACGCATAAATAACATTAACGGAACCCTTCCTGGTTGATCATACCTTAAA